CTACTTTGTTGATGAAATCCAAAACTCGACAACACCTGTGAGAGGGCAAAGATAATTACCTATACCATGATGCATTCTTATTTACGTATTTTCCATGTTTACGTCTGTCATTCATTCTGTCATACTAGCTCCTCCTTCTGGTCGTACTCTCTGCCATTTTGTCCATTTCTATTTATTGTTACATGGACTGAGGAACAATTCATCACACTACATGCATCAGAAACCAGAACAAATTGTAAATCCAAATCTATGAATCAATGCATATTTTCCTAAAGATTTGAGCAATTATGAATGGAATATATGTATATGTACGTATGTGTATATAGAAATATATTTTTTGCATTATACAGCTGGGGGATTTTGCAAGTATCATTTGATATTATTATTATTTTTTTCCCTCCCAGGATTTTTAAGATTTTAATGTAGCCAGACTCGAGACAGTGTCTTCCCATGGTTTGGTATAACAAGTCAACTGTAACAGGTGTCATGGTCACACTTTATAGGCGCTGTTCTTTCATTTTCCTCTAAAGCTTTACGCAGGGCAGGGGATTTACTGTTAGCCGACAACCAAACGCTGGCTAACATTTGTCCGTCTCTGGTGAGTTCGACACGAGTCGGCGGACAAATGAAAGTACGTTTCCTGCCCTTTTTTTCTTCACAGATCTAATAACAATAATAATAGCAGCAGCTTTTTTCTGAAGCGTTTGGAGAAACCCCGGGGTGATAACTGCATCAAGAAGCCATATTTCTTTCTCTCATTTGTTAGAACTACAAATGAAGAATTCTTTGTGTTAACCCATCTAATTTATTGTTGTTTTATTTATTGTATTTATTATATCTAGGTACAGACATGCCATATTGACGCCATTGGCCCGATGAAATTATATTTATCCAAATTTCGCCCTCCGCTCTGAATGCAGTACCTATTTATTCCTCACACTTTTTTTTTTTTTTTTTTTTAATTATTAGTAACAACAACAACCGGGTTTCTATTCAAATCACTATGCAGCTCTGTCATACGTGTTTCAAAATGATTGTATACGACTCAAATGTCCTTTAATTCCTTTATGCAAACAGTTGCCTTTCTCCTAAAGATGTGGAAAATCAAATGCATTTTTCAAAATTGTTCCTTATCGTGATGAAGAGATTAACTCAGGCAAACAAAATGTATTGAATAAAATACAGTATTACGACACGCTTAATACCTTACCGCAACACTCCTGAAGGATGTCACTCTGGTCTGAATGGGAGCTAGAACTTCAAAGACTAATTACCGTTGTAAAATGTATGCATTTTTTTATATTAAGGAAAAAACATTGTAGCATCTTTGTAAATATTTTTTATAATAAAAGGTGCAACTATAGCGTGTGTGGTGTGATTTGAATCAGGTTTTATTCAGGTTTCACTCACTTCTGTTAGTAGAACAGTTCTGACCTTTGGATGTGGATGAGCCTGAAGAACTGAAGCTGATAATATACTTGATGTGTTAACTCATGTCGCCAAAATATCAAAATCAACAATTAGTTAGCTCTGCTTGAAACACCCGGGTCGAATCCTTTCTGCTTCTGCAGTGTTTTAAAACGTCTCATAGAGAATGCACACGTGCTGGAGTGTGTTTACGGAAGGTGGTGTTTCCAGGGTTCTTCTCTCCTCGGCTACTCCACCTTATCTTCAGTTTCAGGGAAGTGTAAGTTATTTTGCGATCCCACTGTTCCTTCGTATCTGTCGTACTTGAGTCTTAAATCTTTCGTCTTAAGTTTCAAACTGCAGAACCATTTTAGAAATAGGTCAAAAATTCATAGTGTACTTTTTAAATTGTTTGGGGAACTGCAGATCTGGTTTGTAAATCATTACCTTCTAGCTTGCAGGTAAACAAGGGTGAAATAAGCAGTGGTGAAGGAAGTGCTCAAACATTTTACTTTGAAATTTCTAGAGCATTTATCTAAACAAAGTTAAAGAATGATTAGCAAGAAAAAGCAAAATAAGAATATATATAATATATTAAACAATTTGATAGTTTAACTCAATACGTTGTAAAAAATGTAGTGGAGCAGAAGTAGAGATAATTGTGATATTTGTGAGTATTTTGTTATTTCCAACCAAAATGTATTAGAACGTGACCAATGGCCATGTATGGACTTCAGATCTCAACCTTTTGATAAGCACCTGAAGGCAACACGAGAGCAGCAGCCCGTCAGTACTAATTAACCCTGAAGTCAACTCACGTTTTCGACGGCAGCGCCGTCGTCCGACAACAGACAATACATGTATTATGAGCAGAGCACGTTATTATCATAATGCGGCTCGGAGTAATTGCTTCCAGACATGTCAGAAGTTAAGAAACACGCCCACTGGAACATCACATGGTGTAACAGTTACAGTGCACGTTTTAAAACCCTGCACGGATTCTCTGCATCACATTCACCGTTTTCTCCGGTGCTGCTTTTTCAAACTATCGTCTCTTTCTCTGAGTCTCTTCCCTCCGGCTGCTGTTTTGCTGACTCACCAAGAGGCCATTAATCTTTAACTATAGTCGAACCAAGACCAGGCAGCAGGCCAACGTGCAGAGTAAGACACAATTTTATGCACAAATACCTTTTGACTGATTCAGACAAGACTCACACGAGAAAATATTTCATTGCGACATGTTTGAGAATATGAAATCTCTGCTCGATGAATTGTAGCATTCATTATCATTACTGAGCGCAAAGTAGCCACACACAGACAATAGTCCTGTTCTGTTGAATCCATCGCAACGCTGCATATCTAATGCAGAATCTCATGGTCCAACGTCAACACGTGAGAGAGCAGGAGGACAAAGGTCTCACTGCAGCCGGAGCACAAGTCACTTTCAGTATTTTGCAAAGCACACTCAGATATGAGACAAGTCAAATCAAAGTGATCTGTGACTGGAGCCATAGCTGTGGATTTGAAGGTGGCGTTTAAATACAATAATACTTTGTCTGATCAAATATCTGAACAATACAATATTGTATCGATCAAAGACAGTGGTACTTTTACATGGACAATGTTCACACTGTTATTCTGATGACGATACTTCTCTGATTGAGCTGTTTACATGAGTTGCTAATAGAATATTCCATTTTTATATTATATTTATATTTCCAATGAATAACCTTAGTGAGTGATCTGTTGCTCTGAATGAGACGTAATATAATTTATAATCCAGCTCCTCAATGACACATTAAAGTGGTGATAGTCTGTAATTTTCATCAAGAAGCCAATAATGAATTGATGCTACTACAAGTTGTGTCTCCAGAATGACTCTGTAGTTTCTTTGCAGTCAAACCTGGAAACAACATTCATTTTATTCTTTGTTCTTGTGTGAGAAGTATTTGAAAATGTGTAGATTTCTAGATTCAGGTTTATCGATTATATCATTCCAGCCACATCTGTAAAAACATACAAGGTGTGTTTTTCTGGACAATACTAAAAAAAGCAGCATCCTGAAGTGTAATCAGGTTAAATTGTGAATCGTTGTGTATTTTTACCTTTTGGCACATTCAGCTTCTCTGTGTTTTGGTTTTTAACCGTGTATTCTAGAGGCCCTGCCGTTGTGTTCTCGAAACATCTGTAGATGTAGGTCGGCAGCTCTGCACAGAATATTTACTTTCTGCTGAGAACAACAGGAAAGAAGAAGTTTGAGTGAGTCTGTGGCAGGTTCAAGAGGAAGAGGCGGAAATACCGTGAATGAAGAGTTTCCTTACATGGTCTTCGCCTTCCCCCGCTCCTACGTCACATCCTCCCCTCTGAGTCATCTGTCTCTTTAAAACGCTGCGTTCAGGTGCTCACTGAAACCTCATCTGATGTCTGATGTTGCTTTAAATCCTGAACGTGAGGATTCCAACTCATTTCACTTTGAATTTAGCAGAAAATCAAAATCACTCATGAAAAGTTTTTAGTTACTTGACACGAATAGTTAAAAAAAAAATCCTATTTTATGTTAACATTTAAAATGTAACGTGATAATAAAAACATATTATATATTGGTGGCTAATTATATATTAATTGTCTTAATATTGCCATCATGTGTTTCTTCCTCTTGCACATCTGGGACATAAAGTGTATTAATTCGGTATTGTCATTATATTTACTGTACTTGAGTATTTCTATTTTCTGCTGCTCTCTATCTCTATTTCTTCACACTCCAGGGCTAAATATTACACTCCACCATTTATGTCACTTAGATATGTAGGTTTCTCTTTGGATCATGGTTTTGCATGAACGTAGAAATCAGGTTATAAAATATGAAGCGCAGTTAAAGATTAAACCAGACAACAATATAAAGAGACGTCCAAAGTAGCTTCATCTTCCTAACTCAAATGTTTCTTTCACAACTGAGTTTTAAACTGTTCCATGATCTCCATCTGCTCTAAGATACAGAATCCAGAAGTGTTAGATATGAGACAAGAGGTAAAACATTATAAAATGGTTTAGATAGACGGTGAGATCAGAACTATGAGAAGGAACACGGACGGACAGAGGGACAGAGGGATAGACAGACAGATATACAGATAGAAAGATATATATTTCATTGATTCCAAAGGAAATGTGTTGGCCCCAGTAGCTTCAATCACACCAACAGGGCAAGAAAATCATTTAAATGTCGTCTTAAAGGTCATTTAGTCTGAAAACATGACGCTGTGTCAGTTTCAGTTGAATGACCAAAACCCAAACATATGATACAAATGTTTGAATCTGTTTTTTACGAAGGTAAAGCAAGAAAGAATGAACATTTCTCCGCCTCATATTCCCCCACTCAGGCCGCTCACGTGTTCTTTAAAGATATGATGCTGGTTTTTCCGGGACGCCCCTGAACGCAGCAGCCTCACATTCGCTGCCCCGTGAGAGGCGGAGGCGGAGACTTGATCAGCGGCACATTCCACCAATCAGAGGCGGCCTTTGCGCTCAAGCCCCGCCTCCTCCGCACACAGTACATTCCTCTCAGAAGAAACGAAATCACACGAGACGAGCGCGAGACGAGGAGGTACTACTATATATATGTACTTCATATACTTTCTATACTCTGCTCTACTCCATACATGAAGACACTGTACTCCTGAGGATATTTACACATGAGGATACTCTGCATCTGAAGGTACTACACACATGATAATACTTTACATCTGAAGGTACTACACACATGATAATACTTTACATCTGAAGGTACTACACACATGATACTACTTTATACATGAAGATACTCTGCATCTGAAGGTACCACACACATGATACTACTTTATACATGAAGATACTCTACATCTGAAGGTACTACACACATGATAATACTTTACATCTGAAGGTACTACACACATGATAATACTTTACACATGAGGATACTCTGCATCTGAAGGTACTACACACATGATACTACTTTATGCATGAGGATACTCTACATCTGCAGGTACTACACACATGATAATACTTTATACATGAGGATACTCTACATCTGAAGGTACTTTGCATCTGAAGGTACTACAAACATGAGGATACTTTACATCTGCAGGTACTATACACATGATAGTACTTTATACATGAAGATACTTTACAAGAACAAGTAAGGTTGTCATTTGTATTTTATTATCATCTGAAACTAGTTTCTCCTCCTGGAACTTGACTCTGAGCTGAAGTCTGATACTGGGGTCAGGGTATTAAAGTAAAGTAAAGTAAAGTAAAGTGAAGTAAAGTAAAGTAATTATTACGTAGTTTGATTTTAAAGACTTGAAACTGAAGGACTGAGTTTGTTATTCATACATTTAAATGTTTCATTTGAAATCACAGCTTGATTCTGCTCACATGGAATCAAACTCATTAAACAAGTTTTAATAGTAATTGTAGTAATTGTACTTCTCATGAGTAAAGTATGTGAGACAGTGATGTGTGTGTGTGTGTGTGTGTGTGTGTTACTCAGCCATGGATGATGAGTAAAGTCAGTCTGTGTCTGAACGTGACTCATCGCAGCTCAAATCTTCACACCCACCTTCTAAACTTCTTCTGATCTCATGTTAATATCTGTGAGAAACTACTTTAATGTACTTGGTTGGTTATTATTTAAAGGGAGTGGGGGAGGGGCCATGTGTCAATGGTTGGCACACACACACAGATGATGTATTTACGTTGTGTGAAATAAACAAAACTAAAACTCGTTTTGTTAAGTTGAGCTGATGTTTTGACGACAGGAAGTAGAATGTCTCTTGTGATGAGGTCACGATGAGTCACTTTGTCTCGAAGAGTTTCTTGTGTTTTTAAATAAAGTTGTGGTTTCAGCTGCTCATTGTTCTGATCACGTTGTAACTGACGAACTCTCTCTGGTGAAGGACGATGTTGGGTCGTGGCGTGAAGCGAAAGTGGAGCTGCCTGGAGGAGCTGGAGGTGGAGATGGTCCCCGCCGCGGTGACGGAGGAGAAGGAGCAACGTGGGGAGGTGGAGCTCATTGTGGCGCCGTCCAAATCCGAGACGAACCACCTGCAGCAACGTCAGCTGGTGCTCGGCCTCTGTCTGGAGAAGCTGCAGCGTTACCAGGCCGGGATGGAGCTCAGCCTCCGTCGCTCGGTGCTGCTCATCAACACGCTCCGGCAGATCCAGGAGGACATACAGAGCGACGGGGCTGGAGCCTGCAGCCCGGACGCACTCCACAGCGCCGTCCATCCTGACTCTCGTCTTCTCAGGGACGACTTCAGGGAAGACACGCCGGTCACTTGCCCCGGTTGTGCAGAGGGTGACGGGGACGACCTGCCTCTGACTCCACCGCTGTCCCCCGAATTCCCGTCTCAGGAGGCAAACAGCTCGACGGACCAGCAGAAACCGCCCACCGCCACGATCGGTGCTTTTAGTGATGCAGTAAACGCCATGGGCTACCTCAGCGACCTCACCCTGGACAACATCTTTGAGGACATTGACACGTCGATGTACGAGACTTCAGATCTGCCTTCTGCGTGGGCGACGGGCTCTTTGTGGCCCGTCAGCGTGACGATGTGGGCGGACGAGGACGTGAAAATGCGCTCGCCAGGCCACGGCTCACCTGGGAGTCTGCAGTCGTGTCTGATGGACCTGAACGAGCTGGACCACATCATGGAGATCCTGGTGAAGTCTTGATCGCCAGGATTGTGGATGTTTACGACTCTTGGTCCATTAAAGACGTGCAGCTTCTCTGACCGAGGATCCAACACCGACGTCAGGGTCGAGGATGATTTTGGGATTTTTTTTTAAAAGGCTCCATTTGACATTTAACTGGAAAATGAGTTTCAAACTTCGGCTGATGTGAAGAAAACGTTCACTTTAAAACACGTTTGCACTGTTTCTGTGGCTTCAAACGGGAGAAACAGACCAAACATGCAGGTGGAAGATCCAGAAAACAGATAGACTGAGAGAATCTGCTGTTTTTCTCTGTATCGCTCTCTTCTGAACTGGGATTTGTTTTTTTTTACGTGTTATTTTCTGATATTTTATTGACCAAATTATTTATCAGTTATTTCAGAAAATCTTCTAAAGTTGGTTTAGAGCGTCAGACACAAAGTCCGGCTTCAGGTTGTCTTTTGAGTAATCTGTGAAAAAAGAAAATTGCAGCACTGGCGAGGGAAGTGTTGTAACAGACGGCTCGATGCCGTTCAACAGTGTTAACGTGTCAAGAGAGGTGTGTTGAGTGTTGATGTCACTTTTCTCTGTTTGTTTGTTTTTTAAATTAAGTTTTTATGTGAGTGAGTGAATCCACTGCTCAGGAAGAAGGAACCTGATCCGCCGGTGTGTGTGTGTGTGTGTGTGTGTGTGTGTGTGTGTGTGTGTGTGTGTGTGTGTGTGTGNTGTGTGTGTGTGTGTGTGTGTGTGTGTGTGTGTGTGTGTGTGTGTGTGTGTGTGTGTGTGTGTGTGTGTGCGTCACTCCGGCTGTTAGACCGGCCCCTGGTTGATTATTAATTGAAATCCCTTCAGTCACTTGAAGAGGGCGTGCTTCAGCGGGACTGGAGGGCAAAGGCCTGGGTTCTGGATCTTTAACGTAGGAACGGCTCCGAGGGTCGACCGTCTACACGCCGGTTTGGCCGGTGAACAGGTGAATGTGGCCACTGAAATTTGGGGATTTAGCCAAATTAGTAAACTTCCAATCCCGAGAAACGAACGCCACGCTCACGTCCAATCACAAGAGGAGCCGGACCGGCTTGATTATCATTATTATTATTATTATTATGAATGAAAAATGGCAGCAGACTTTATTTTGTGCTTTGTTTTTTCTTTGGGTGTGAGTGTAACTTATCGTTTTACGCGGTGTGATGGCGGCCATTTTGCTTTTGGCGACCCCATCCAATCAGTACAAACTGTACAAGTAATATCCTGTCACCATGACGACGCCACGTGAACAGTTGCTCCTCGTCGGCAGCTGGTGTTTAAATCCAACGAAGCATCGCACGTGTATTTTAAATGTCTGGTTCTGGCCGAGGAGACGATCGCCTCGAGTCAACGACGAGTTTGTCTCAGAATTGTAAATGACGACAGACGCCGGTGTATTTTTATTGCCATGTCTTTATACGTGTTTCTCCCGGAAACTCTCGTCTCCTGTCCGAGAGAAGAGACGAAGAGATCAGAAGGTCGGAGACGAATCAAGAAGCTCGGCCTTCACTTCCTGTGGTTTACTCCTGTTCTACCTCCGTATGTCAGTTAACCTGGACACTGTGTGAGTCTGTGGAACTGATGGACTCCATCTACAGCTGTTTATTCATTGTCTGTGAACTGGGCTGATAATCTCACGCCACCCTGGACGACCAAAGTAATCCGTCCTCATCTTCATCTCTGGTCCACAACGTGCCTTACTACTGTTTTTTTAATCATTATTCGTGTTGGGGGCGTTCGTCGAGCCTCATTGATAAAAAAACCTAAGAGCAGCGGCGGCCGTTATGTAAAAGCAGCGAGCCTCAGAACCGTCATTGTTTCCTGCCTCTTCTTGGTCCTTTTTGTTTTTTCTCTACGCTCACTGAGCGCTGCTGGAATATGAGCTTAATGCTTCCTGACAGGCTGACAGTGAACTAGCTGAGGGAGGAGGTGGCAGCCCGGGCCAGGAGGGAAAAATAAGCAGTGGTGGAGGAGGAGGAGGAGGAGGAGGAAGAGGTGGGAGGTGGTGGAAGAAGGGGCTTTGCGTCATTAGCTAGGAGGAGTTTGAAGCTTGTTTTGCCCAGACTCGGACCATGGACCAATCACACGAGGCGTGGGAGGGGCGGGCTGCTGCCTCAACAACTTGTTTTCCCTCCTGATGCACAGACACCGTGGATCAGCTGGATTTCAGCCTGTGAAATAAACCACTTCTGTTTTTTCCCCCACTTACATAATCCATCAGCCTGAATGAATCGAACCAACAGAAAGCTGCAGTGTTATTTATAACGGTGGAGAGCGCAGACGGCCTTTAAAGCACAAGCTGTGTGTGGTTGATGATGATGCACATGCAACTGAAGGATGCTGGGTAATGAGACGATGATTAATAATGTATTGTATTTTTCTGTGGAATATTTTATAGATTTTATTCAATAATACAGTAAAAGAAAATGAATTCACTGTGTGAGTCTTCATTCCATTTACACAACATCACTCTGAGCTGGTGGTCAAACAATAAAACTAATAAATGCACGTTTGATATTTCTGCAAAACCTCTTTAAACATATAAAAACACGTCTGTAAAGCAGCCACGCAGAAACAATGAGCTGCTGTGTTGTTTTACGCCCTCAGTGTTGCCTCACAGGCTTCAGTAAAACATGCAGGCCCCCCCCCCCCACTGAATCTGATGCTGTAACTCTGTACGTGAGAAGTGTCAGCCCCCTAAAGTGTCCGAGTGAGAAGACAGCAGCAAGATGTGTGGAAAATTCAGTGAGCGAGTCGATGAGGTTGATGAAAATGACACGTGACGAAGACGAGGAGATTCCAGATGTTTTGGGGATCAGGGCCGAAGTCGGTGTGGACGAGCTGTAAACTACAACACTGATCTCTCCCCAGCACAATTTACACGTCATGTCCCGCCTCCTGCTGCTCTACAGGCTCCGGCCCTCGCCTCAATGTCCCCCACATGTCCCCCACATGTCCCCGTCCTTCTGAACCAGTTGGACAATCTCCTGCTGCTGCTGCTTCACAGGACGAACACTGACTCTGGAGTTCATGTCTGAGACTTGAGGCAGAGTCGGTCGTTTGTTTTTAATTTGTTGAAATCCTCCTCACATCCCGATTCCATGATAACTGAATTCAGAGCTGATTGTAAAGTTACGTGATGACGCCAGAGTTGTTGTTCTGTCTACGTGTGAGTTGTCATGAAGTCAGTTTCCATATTCCGACATCATTCAACATGTTGAACTGCAGCACTTGACCAGGAGAGGGCCTTACAGGCAGTGCACAGCCTGCGAGTCTCAGCTCAGGGCAACAACGAGCCCTTTGGTTATTTCCCCCCCCCCCCCCCATGCAAGACTGAGGAGTCAAACGAAAGCAGAGGCTGCCCCCTGCAGGAGGCTTTGAGGAGAAGCAGGCGTGTGCTGGTGGTGAGCAATGACTGTGCAGATTCAAAACATCTTGTGTCCTGTGGTGTTTGTTGATGTTGTCGTGTGCTGTCGCTGCAGCTGCATCACTAAGAGCCGGTGTCGGATGCCGGGAATCCGATCCGCGCTCGAAGCCCGAGCTCGTGCTTTCCGGTGAAGCAGGACTCACAGGTTGTTACAGTGGGTTAACAGGGTTCCTCTGAGAGTCACTTAGTTCCCTGGAAACTGTCCCAGCCGAGGAAAGTGTTGAGTGAGAAGCTGCATCTAGTGTTTCACCTTCTCCTCTGCTGCAGATCTGCAGCTCTGTTATTCCTCATCTTACAAAGAACCAATGGAAAAACGCTCTGTGACCCAAAAAAAACATTTTAACAGCAAAATGTTCTTGAATGTTCAAACTGCACGTTATCAAATCATGAACTCGGTGTATTTCAGAGGATGCACATGCTCGTTTAAACTCTAGTTACTCGTGTTGACAGAAAAACACTGAGATGTAAAAGTCTCACGAAATGGAAATTATAAAATAAAATGTGATTTACTGTCTGTAATTATTCTAATTAACAACACAAAGCTGCTGCTCCGCTTAAAATTCAATTAAATGAGGCTCCGTGAAGACTTAATTAGGCCTTTTACTATTTACGTCTGTGTGTACATGTTCGCTGATTGACCAGACTGCAAAGATAAACACTGTTAAGTGGGAAAATAACTGGAACAGGACTCAGAGAGATATTTCCACCCGTCAGCCCCGGTTAGACTTTACATTCAGAGATAAATCCACTGATTAAATGTTGGACTTCAGGTTTTTGTTCATCACTGCAGAGTTTTCGCTGCAGGTCCTCGTGCTCCTCTGTGGGTTTGATTCCACAGGAGCAGAGTTACAGTCGATGATGTCGGCGAGACGACCGTTCAGGGAGTGGCCTCATTTAAGAGGAGGAGCAACACGTGCACGTCTGCACACAACCACTGCTACAGCTTCCATTTAAACACGAGAGGACAGCGTGTCCGTCTATCTGTCCATCTGTCCATCTATCTATCTGTCCATCTGTTCATCTATTTATCTGTCTGTCTATCTGTCTGACTATCTATCTATCTATCTATCTATCTATCTATCTATCTATCTATCTATCTATCTATCTATCTATCAATCTATCTATCGATCTATCTGTCTATCTACCTATCCGTATATCTATCTATCTATCTGTCCATCTATCTGTCTATCTATCTATCTGTCCATCTATCTATCTGTCTGTCTATCTGTCTGACTATCTTTCTATCTATCTATCTATCTATCCATCTATCTGTCCGTCTATCTATCTGTCTATCTATCTATCCGTATATCTATCTGTCTATCTATGTATCTATCTGTCCGTCTAAATATCTTTCTATCTGTCTATCTATCTTTCTGTCCATCTATCTGTCCATCTATCTATCTGTCTATCTATGTATCTATCTGTCCGTCTAAATATCTATCTATCTTTTTATCTATCTGTCCATCTATCTATCTATCTGTCCATCTATTTGTCCGTCTTTCTATCTGTCCATCTATCTATCTATCTGTCCATCTATTTGTCCGTCTNATCTATTTGTCCGTCTTTCTATCTGTCCATCTATCTATCTGTCTATCTGTCCATCTATTTGTCCGTCTTTCTATCTGTCCATCTATCTATCTGTCCATCTATCTGTCTATCTATCTATCTATCTTTTTATCTATCTGTCCATCTATTTGTCCATCTATCTATCTATCTTTTTATCTATCTGTCCATCTATCTATCTTTTTATCTATCTGTCCGTCCCTCAGATGACACAGCACAGTAGTGAAGGTGTAACTGAAGCTGTGGGGACAGTATGAATTCTGCGGAGCCTCCGTCTGGGTTTAGTGTTTCTCTGCAGGCAGACGTTGGTTTTCTGCGTCGCAGTAAAACTAGTGTTTGGCTCAGGAAGCCTCCGTCCACTGGGCTGACTCAGCAAACACAGAGCAACCACCTCTGCTGCTGCGAGACAACGGGACGGACAGACACAGCAGCACCGGTCAATAAGCACTCTGTCGAGAGGAAGCTATGAAGCGACAGAGTATAATATAAATATAAAAAGACAAACATCAAATCCTCTGAATGAAGACGCTGGAATAAACCATGGTTTCTCACCGATACATGAATTCAATCAGATGATTTTTAAGGCGAAAGTTGAATCAAAATGTCAAAAAGTAGGAAGAAGCAGAATTTAAAAACGGAGAGAATAAAACGACATGTATGTGTGAGTGACACAGG